ATCAGAATCATCATCCGATTCCTCGTGTCCTTTTTGTTCCTATTTCTTCGCCATCTTCTCCCTTCTCAGCGTACGTCGGCTTACTAAGCTTTTGTTCCTCGGTATGCTCCTTCACTTGCCAGATCGGGGCAACTCGCCTGGGCATCGTCTCTGGATGGCCTCCTCCTCCTCCTCCTCCTCGTCCTCCTCCTCATTCTGCTCGCCCTTCTCCTCCTCCTGCTCCTCGTCCTCCTCCTCCTCCTCATTCTCCTCCTGCTCCTCCTCCTCCTCCTCCTCCTCCTCCTCATCCGCCTATTCCTCCTCCTCCTCCGTCCTCCCGCTCCCCCTCCTCCTCCTTCAATTTCTCCTCCTCCTCCTCCTCCTCCTCCTCCTCCTCCTCATCCTCTTCCGATGCCTCCTCCATCCTCGCCGTCTTGGATAAGACAGGTTCCCCAGCCCTTGGTTACTCTGTGTGCTCCCTCACTTCCCTGATCACCTCCATTCGCCTGGGCATTCGCTGGGCCAGAACCAGCAACACCAGCAGCAACAGCAGCAGAAACAGTACTTGCAGTAGTTAGAGCACCAGCAGCAACCAACACATGCAACCTTCACCACAAAAGATCTCCCAATTCACCGTTGTCGCCCGCTCGGTTTCACTATATGTTTCTCTCCTTCACTTCTTCCATCAGCTCCCCTACGCATCGTTTGTGGATGGGCTGGTGGGGATACGCGTAGCGTCTAGAATTCAAAAGAAACGATAAGGGGCTTTACTCCTGGGGCTCTTAGATCCCTGGGTCGCTGGGTGCAGATCGTCGTTTTCGCGTATGTACAGCTCGATGCTGCGCCCGGCACTTTCCGAATGCGTGCTTTCTCTGATATTACTGGGGGCGATTGGCGGGCGCATTGGTGGCGCCATTCGGGCGCTGAGCGGGGTGCGACTAGTTTCAGGACTGGCACCGCTGCTGTCTGTGGAACGTTCGCCCACCAGAATTACAAGGCCTGGGCGCCTCGGGGAAGGTGCCCTGGGCTCCAGGCCCCGTGTGTCCAAAATCTTCGGCGCGGGGGGGCGGGCGCGAGCTGGCGTTCCCGTCGCCCCTCGCCGCGGGCGCGTCAACAGGCGACAGATGCCGTCGTTTCAAGTGCACGGGGGTCTATCTCCAACGCGCCCGTGCCAGGCGGCCGCCGCGGCGCGGGCCCTTCCCCCGAGCCCGGAACGCCGTGGGCGCGGGCGCAATTCCGCCCGCCAGGGTTATCCTGCGCAGCTGCGTCTTGCGAGGGTGATCCGTCGCGGCGGGCGCGCGCGCGTTGGGCGAGGGGCGGCAGTGGCGAGCCAGGTCCTCTATGTCTGATGTTTGACGACGTGATCACATCGGCGCCCGCGCCGCAGGTTCATCGCGGAGGAAGCTTCTGGAGAGCTCGAGGGCGGCGCGATGCGAAGTTCAGTTCTCCAGCGGTTTCGAAAGTGAGACAAGATCTGCGGGCTGGTCGTGGCTTCGGGCGGGGCTCAGATCGGTGGCGCGCAGCTGCCAGCGCTGGGCCCCGAAATTCGGTCTGCGCGCCCATGCCGCGCGATGCAATTCTTGGGGCCAGATTCTCCGCGATCGATCCCCCCGCCCGATGGGCCTCGCATCCTGTGCCGGTTTAGCGGGCGCTGGGGCCATCGTTCTCAGCGGGGGTCTTGGGTGTCATCACCAAGTGTAACGGCGCGGCCCCGGGGATGATCCACGCGCGCGTCGAGCTGACATGTTGGCGGCAGCTTGCGGGCGATGTCGGGCGCGTCGCCATGGCTGTCGAGGCGTTCGAGAAGCAAATTGCATTCTGGAATCGGCATTCGGCGCGGTCGTCCGCGCGCCTGCCCGCGGCCTGTTGCTGGCCGCGTGTCGATTAGACTGCGTCGCGGTCTGCGCCGCCATCTCCGCGAATCTCCTGGGCCTTTGTGTCGGGGAAGGACCGGCGCGCGATCTTGGTGGCAGTGGGGGTTGGCTGCCGCCTCGCAAGCGGAAGAGCGGCAGGCCGCGCGCCCCGTGGAAGCGGGCGTCGGCGGAGGAACCGAGGCAGCCAGGAGGCGCCCTTCGCGCGAGACACGGGGCCCGCGGGTCGATATCAAGGCAAAACCGATTACACTGGGCAGCTTCTCGCGGATTCGTCAATCAACAAATTGAGTCGCGCTGCAGTTGAAAGAAAAACCGGATTTCGCCGGAGTGGAAAGGGAAGCTATGCCGCGAGGCGCGCCGGGGTCGATCGATGAATTTGGCCCGAAGAGGGGCGGTTGGGGCCGTGGGTGCGGCGGGCGGGCGCGGTTGCCGCCGCCGCGTGCTGCCTCGCTCTTTACATCCATTGTGTCGCGCGGCTACAGGCCCCCCCACGCGAGCTCGGCTGCCCAGGCCGCCGCCCCCTTCTGCGCCGCGAGCGGTTGCGCCCAAATCCATGCGCGCAGGCTCCTTCGATGCAGCCGCAGGCCCTCTTTGCGCCTCGTGGGCCGGCAAGCTGCGGAAAGTATCTCTAAATATTGCAGATCAAATGAGCGGGCCGAAGTGGAGGCGCGCGGCGCTGACCTCGCAACTCGCAAGAGGAGGAGATCCCCGCGCAGCGCCTAATTCAGATCGCCCCACACTCTGGGAGCGCGGGGGTGGGTTGTCCAGGTGGGCCACCCGCGCTCGCATGTGCCGTTTCAGTTGGGCTCAGAAGAAGCTGCGCGGCGCGCGCCAAGTCCAGGCCGAACCGAGAACGAACCTTGTGCCCGCGAGTGGCGCTGGCCCTTGCGGTGGGGCGATGCGCGATTGGGTCGCGTGCGTAAGCAAACATGCGTATCAATGGCAATATCGTTTGTATCGAGCCGTCGTGTTCGAAGGGGCGCTACCGCGCCGCCCCGATTCCCTCTGCCATCTGTGAGATCAAGAAAGCAACAGTTTGGGTTGACGGCGAGACGCTAACCGTTATTGGCGCAAGATGCGCGAACGCACAAGGGTTCATGCAGTTGCCGGTGGCGGGATTTTTCGAAAAAAGGGCCAGCTCTGCACGGTGACGAATGGAAGCGCGGGTGTGATTGGCTGGCGGCGACAGGCGACCTGCTCTGATGTGGGTTCAATATGATGTGCGCCTGCTAGGACAATGGTTTCTGCAAGGGCAGCGAGCGTGCGATGGATCGTGTTTTTTTTGGTCCTCGGCGCGTTGCAAATAATTTACCGTGGCATTCGACGGCGCTGATCGATCCTTGCACCGTTAAAGAAGATGTAGCACCTTGGCGCCCTGTCATCAACAATGCTGAACATATGCGTTCGTGCTGTTTGATTATGCGTGAACCTGTGCGCGGCCGATTGGCGCGTGCAGTCCATGCGCGGGATGGCGAGAGACATTGGTTGACCGTGAGGATTAGAAGGCAAGGCGGCATAGATCGCGCTTCAGCAGCGAAGCGCAATCGACAACGATGACCTTCCTTCATCCAATGCGTCGGAGGTGGGTGGGGGGTGGGGGGTGGGGGCGGGCGGGCGGTGGTTGTGGTGGCTGTGGTTGTTAGGATAGGATGCGCATATATATATATATATATATATATGTGTGTATATATACATATATATGCGCACAACCATTTGTTCCATTGTGTATGTGTACATTCGTATGTATATATGTACATGTACATGTGCATGTACATGTACATGTATGTATGTATGTGTGTGTATATATATATATTGAAATGTATACATGTTTGGGCAGCCGGGGGTGGCGGGGCCGATCGTAGACTGGGCTGGGCCCCTTCCTCCTCGGTCCTTGTTCTGATCAGCCTTTTTTTGTTGAGCTGGCTTAGGCGCAAAGCCCGGGCTGGCCCCCTCGCGGCCCCATCGGCCCCCCTCCCCGCGAGCCGCCTCCCAGCGGCCCCCCGCGTCCAGAGAGGCGCGGCGCCGCCTGCGGCGGTCGCGCTCCGCCGCCTCCAAGTCGGGGGCCCGCGGGCGCGGAGGGGCGAGGGGTGGCGCGACAGGGGGGTCGCGGCCGATCGGGATGTTGCCCGGGAGGGCCGAGCCTTAGACATGGCGTCTCTAGAATGTTTCAGGGGGAGGTGGCGGGCCGAAACAGATGTCGCGCGAGCTTCGAGCGGCCGGGGCCGGGTCGCCCGATCCCCCCCCTGGCCCAGACATCCGCAATGATCGTTCATATGTTTGGGCAGGCGGGGTTGGCGGAGCCGATCGCAGACTGCGCCGGGCCTTTTGTCCACATTCTTTGTTGCACTCAGACATAGTTGAGCTTGCCGAGCGCGAGCAGCCCGAGCCGCGCCGCTCGCGGCCCCTCGCGCACCTCCTCGCAGGCCGCTCCCCTGCGGGCCCCCGCGCCCAGCGAGGCGCGCCGCCGCCTGCGACGGGGGCGCTCTGCCGACTCCCAGGCTGGGGGCCCGCGGGCGCGGGGGGGCGAGGGGCTGGGCGAGGAGCGGCGCGAACGGGGGGCCGAGGCCGGTCGGGGTGCAACCGGGGAGGGCTGCCTCCTGCGAGACTCAGACACGGCGTCTCTAATGTACTCCATGTGGGTGGTGGTTGGGGGGGGGGGGGGCGGGCCAAAACAGCTGCCGGGGCCGGGTCGCCCGACCGCCCCCCCTGGCCCGAACATCTACTGTGAACGTATATATGTTTGGGCAGGCGGGGGCGGCTGGGCCGATCGCAACAGGGCAGAGCCCCTTATTCCCCATCCCTTGTTTTACTCGGCCGTAGATCTTGCTGAGCTGGTCGGGCGCTACCAACCCGGGCCACCCCCTCGCGGCCCCTCGGCCCCCCTCCCCGCGAGCCGCCCCCCGGCGACCTTCCTCGTCCAGCGAGGCGCGTCGCCGCTTTGATGGGCGCGCTCTGCCGCCCCCCAGGCCGGGGGTCCGCGGGCGCGGAGGGGCGGGGGGTGGCGCGAGAGGGGGGGGTGCCGAGGCCGATCGGGGTGCAACGAGGGGGGTAGCTCCGACCATCTCAGAGGCACCATCTTGCGCGAGCGTCGCGCGCACTCAGGTTCTCACTCTTGCTTCTGGCCGCCGCTGCCCAGGCTCAAGCATGTCATCCTTCGGTTTCCAATATTGCTGATAATGATGCCGTATTAGGCTGGCGCGGCGGCGCAATGACCTGGGGCCTCTGCGGCCGCCGCGCGGCCCGGGCTGTCGGAGAGCGCTCCGCCGCGGGTGCTGGGGCGGCCGCGGCCGCTGCAGCCCCCTCGCCTGGCCGCGGGCCCGCGGGCCCGCGCGGCGCGCGCCACTCCCGCGAGGGTCTGCCGCGCCCCCGTCGCCTCCACCTCGGCCTCTGCGCTGGGCTCGCAGGCCCGTCGGCCTGCGCGCGAGCTGGGGGGCTTCGCGAGCGGCCGGCTCCGCCGAAGGCCAGCTCGAGCCGCGGCCGCGACCTCTGGCCCCGCAGGTCGTCCAACTGGCGGCGCTGAAGCGTCGTTTCCTGCTCGTCCAGCGACGCGGGGTGTGCCGCGCGCCCCCCGCGATTTCCAGCTTTCCCGCCACCTGCCAGCTCGCGCCCTCGAGGTTGAGTTCCAAGGCATTGAAGCTTGGCGCCAGGACGTCGGAGAGCTCCGCCAGACTGCCGCGCTCGAGTAGGCGACGTGGCCAGCGTCTGCGGCCTGCTGACCACCGAGGCCCGCGAGGTGTGGGCCAGGTAGTGGCCAAACACGATGGCTACTCGGTGGGCCATGACCTTGGCCCGCGTTTCGCTGCCGTCCGCCCCCTCCCGCAGGCCCGCGATGCGCGCCATGTTCTTCATTGCTTCGTCGTGCAACGCGCCGGGGCGCGAGCCCGCCGCCGGCCTGGCGCTGTTGCCGCGAGGGGGGGCGTCGCGAAACTGGGCCAGCCCCTCGGCGTCATCATCGCCATCATCATCGTCACCCGCAACACCATTATCGCCGCCATCCCGCTCGGCCGATGGGGCTCCGCCGACGGCGTCGCCCGCGGGCAGCTGCCACTCCAAAGGCGCCGTCTGTCAGGGCGCGCGGGCGCGGGGGGGCAGCGGCAGCGAGCCGCCCTCCAGCAGCTGCAGGGCCAATCTCAGCTACTCCACCGCCTCCAGCTCCGCCAGCGCGATCGCCGAACGACGGCGGGCGGCGGGGCGGGCCCAGGGCTCGACCAAGGACACGGCCGAAGAGATGCGCAGCCACTCCACCTGAAATACGCCTCGACCAAGCTGCCAGGGCTCCGCTCGCCGTGCGCGCCCGTCCGCGCGCAGGTGGAAGAGGCCGCGCGGCCCGCCGCTCCGCGGCAAGAAATGTGTCCAGGGCCACCGCTTCGGCGGCCACTGAAGCGCCGCGGAACTGGGCCTCGAGGTAGAGGCCCGCGGGGCCTGGCTGGTTCACGTCCTCCACCTCGAACAGCGCGGTGCCGTTGATGGTCCCGTCCTCGCCGTGCGTCAGGACCGCGAGCGTGAGGCCGCGGGTCCAAGCTCTGCGCGACACGTCCCGCCAGGGTCCAGGAACCGTTTAGCAGGCCATCCAGGGTCGCCGTCGCCCCCGGGACGCCGCCTCCTGGGCCCAGGGCAGCGGCGAACGGGGCCGGGCCCGCAGCCGCCGCCAGAGGGGCGCCTGGCGCCGCAGCGGCGCCCCCTCCCGCGCCGAGTGAGCCGAATGTCGCCATCACCTCTGCCCCCAAGCCGCCCGCGAGCCAGGGAGCGGCAGCGCCTGCGTCGGGCGGCGGCGGTGCGCCACCCAGTCCGACGGGGGCAGGGAGGCCGCCTCCCAGGGGCGGCAGCCAAGGCAACACCGAAGTTCCTCCGCCATCAACCCCAGCAACGCCAGCCGCGAGCAGTGCTGCGGGCGCGGGGGCCCCGGGGGGCACGGCGAAGGCCCCCGGCGCCGGGGCCGCTGCACCTCTGCCGCCAAATCGGCCCGCCGCGACCGCGCCTGGGCCGCGCCCTCGACTCGCCGCCGCCGTCGCCGCCACGCCTTTGGCCTTCGGCTTGGCCATGTTGCTTGTCTAGACCTGAGCTTTGGGAGGCATCCTCCGCGTCCGCCAAGCCCGCGAGCGCGGCCAGCAGCGCAGTGCGCTCCCGCGCGCGGCCTATAAAGGCGGCTCGCTCGCCAGGCGAGAGCCGCGCGCGCTGAGGGGGTGCTGGGTGGCGAACGTGAGGAGGTACCACACCTCGCACACCTCGAGGAACCGACCCTCGGTCGCGAAGGCAAGGCTGTCGTGGGGGCCAAGGCGGCCGTGGCACCAGCTGCAGCGCCGCGTCGGTGCCTCGACCGCGGGCAGCGCCCCGGCCCCGTCGCGCGGGGGAACGGCCCCCAGTACTGGGACGGCCTCCGCGGCAGGCCCGACCGCGGGCGGGTTCGGGTCCCGCGCGCCGCGGGCACCACCCCAGAGGCGGCGGAAGGGCCATCCAGCCAGCCGGCGGAGGCGGCATATGCCACACCCCGCGGAAGGCCGCAAGGGGGTGGCCCGACACTCTGTATTGATGCCACGTGAGCTTCGGATGGCCGAGAAGCGATCATCCGATCCTCCCCCTGTCCCAAACATCTACCGTACTGTTTTTCTTTTCAGAAATACGTAGCACCCCGCAAAACGAAAGAGTG